ATGAGATGACAAATTTTTCAGGAGAGGTAATCCTAAAGGAGAATTGCATAATTTAATAAGATAAATTAATATCGAACCTGCGTATCCGTACGTATCTAGATTACGCATCATAAATACATTTTAATTATACATTTTAATTGATTCACTACGTATGTACGTACGTACGTTTTTTATCTTGACCAATAACAGATAAGAAAATATTAGAAAGTTACCAATAAGCAAATATTAGGAAAGGTACGTAGGGATTTTTACAGTATTAATGTATCTATGTCTATCAAATGTTATTAAAATTTACTATTAATAATAATACTGCAGACGTATATCGTACATTACTCCACGAAATGTGGATGTGAATATGTGAATATGTGAATATATTCAAATGTAAACTTGAATTCACTTGAATGCGAACCAGAATTACCATACATTAATCGTTTACATAAAACAGCTCTAGCATCGCTAATATATTCAATTGTGTATATATCACACGATCCTTAATTTGCGACGATTCTTAATTTACGAATCGATTAGTAATCACTCAATTTTATTATTTACAAAGTGATAATAGTTATATATTTTTTTTATAGATTTGCACCGCTTGAATTAATTGCCCCGTATGGCACTTCATGTAATTAGATCTCGATCTTTAACAAGTTTTCAAAGAGATATCGATATTTGGTATCCAATCTGAAATAAATCTGAAGTAAATCTGAAGTAAATCTGAAGTAAATCTGAAATAAATCTGAAATAATCTGAAATACGTAATCTGAAATAATCTGAAAAGATTATCGTTACAAAAAATATACCAGTGTTACAAATAATTAATTTACAAGAATAATATTAATTAAAATAATACCTAACTTTATTAAAGTTAATAGGAATTCGTTACATATGGAAATTGTGATCATATTATCTTTAAATTTGAAACCTGATTTTAGAATCTTTCATTGTCTCCATTGTTATCTGAAACATATATATATATGCCGATATGTTTATCGATATTGAATCGACATAAAATCGACTAAAAATCGATGCACACAAGAATTATACGTATACATATATATTTTTTCGTGATATACGTATAATACTTAATAATATCACTTATACCGGTTTCACCCCAAAGACATAATTAATTCATTTTGCATAAATATCTACGTATTTTATGTGCGATCCACAAACTTTGCTGATTTGTTTTTTAAGGATTTTCATAACATCGGATTAACATTTTATTTTGTTTATAACGTTTGGACTCCTCGTGTTTTTACTACAGTTAATAAATTTTAATATAAATTTTAATAAGTTTAAAATAAATTTAAATAAATTTAAATAAATTTAAATAAATTTAAATAAATTTACAATATATCGTACATACTCCCATATACCTCCATTGTTTCAAAAATTACTTTTTTTATTCGGATACGATATTATATATTAAATATATGAAATATTATATATAAATTTGTTTTAAATTAAATATTATATATAAATTTGTTTTAGATAAAACAAATTAAACAAAATTAAACAAAGTTAGAAACCTTGATTTTGAAACGCGGATAATGATATAATAAAAATTTTATTACTTACCTTATTTTAATGACTATGTGTCATGAGAGAACAGAATCGACGGGATCGAACGGGATCGAACGTGTTTTTCTAATTATAAAAAATTTTTGCCAGCAAATGATATAATATTGGACTTAATTTTTTTAATAGAAGAAATACTATCGTGAAAAAAAAATAATGCTGTAATATGGTGAGAGGATACTGTAATATGTGGCTTAAAATTTAAGATAAATGAGATACCGGTAGATGTCGTGAGAAAATACCGAATTTGACTAAAAAGATATTACAATTTTCTTAATTAGTTTATTTTTTGTGACATATATATATATTATTTTTATAATAAAAAATGATAAGGATAATAAAACGTATATATATAAAAAAATAAGAATATTTACGTAATAATATCGATAGCCAAATGATCAAACGTTATCATTAAGGTAAGTCAACTGATTAGCATGTGTTGACGCCACAACTTTTAGCGTTAACTTAGAAAATAATGGAACTATGTACTGTACATGGAAATACATGAAAAAAAAGAAAATTAGCAACATTAATCTTGAGAAAACTCAAATTAGTTATATTACCTACACTTTAGTAACATTTTAGTAGATGTGAAGCGTACATAATGACTTACATCCATGGAGATGAAAAACTGTTAGTATTTACAAAACGAATTGGATGAAAATGAATGATTGGATGAGTTAATGATTTTCATGTCAAAGAACCAAAGCAAGAATCATTAACGAACCTTGGTTAAATATAGATTTTTTCGGCCAATGCCGATAAAAACTATATATAAATGTTAATTTAGATGTAATAAATTCAGATGTAATAAATTCAGATTTAATAACGGATGTTGTACTAACAAATCAGCCCCTCTTTAATTTTATCCTAATGTTATCCTAATGTTATCTTAATGTTATCCTAATTTTATCTTAATGTCATCTTAATGTATCACGGTGTCAGCTTTGTGCACAACATTAATGAAGCATATAGAGAATGCAACAAAATAGTGCACTAAGTTCAGCTAGTATAAACAATTATCAGACATCGGATCAATCGATGCACAGATATATAGTCATATAGTTAAATTCTCTATACTTTTATTTTTTAAGAAAAGTGAAATTTTTAGATGGCAAGAAAATTGATTATTGCATTACTGCATTGTTATACTTATTTGGTAAGTGACAACTGTCATCATCATCTTAATCTTTTTAATTATGATTTTTTTTCTTACGTGTTTCGACTGTTTCGTTTCGTCTCTCGCCAATAATGCCCGCCAATAATGTCGAGTCTAAATAAAGAACCTTCTCGACCGAATTTAATCGAATTTAATTCGAATTTTAATTCGAATCTTAATCGAATCTAATCAAAATCTAATGTGAAACGATTATAATTATTTTGATCCTTCGTTGCTATATTCTCTCTTATTCGTCTTTTATGTAATTCAAAGTGCAATTATGTTAAAGATTTGCATTCAGAGAGTCTCTCTTGTTTATAGAGATTGTTATAGGGTTCTTATAGTTCTTATAGAACATGCACTTTGAAAGAGTCGACCATAAGTATATTATATGTATGTTATATGTATGTTATAATATGTATGTTATATGTATGTTATAATATGTATGTTATATATGTATGTTATATATGTATGTTATATATATATGTTATATATATATGTTATATATATATGTTATATATATATGTTGAAGGTTTAAAAACACGAAAAAAATACTTGATCTTCGCGTCGCGCTGACTTGTTGATATTTTGTAAACGTTCATGGCCGAATATAAAATAGTCGTTTTTATTTTGGTGCATTTTTTATTTTGGAATTTTTTTTTTTATTTTTGGAATTTAGAATACAAAGAATGTTTAGCGCGTATTGAGAATAAATTATTTTTAGAGGTTTTTTTTTTTTCTTTATTGTAGAATATAGTTCAACCGCGTGACCGTATATGGACCTTTTGGATCATAGTAAAGGAAAAAAAAGTCATACGAGTCATTCGAGACGTTCGAGACTGGCAGACTTATAAATCAATAAAGAAAAAGAAAGATATTCATTTCAAAGAAAAAGAAAAAAAGATTTCGTCAAGACAATTGGATAAACGTAACCGAATCTGGTATCTTGCGTATCACAAATATAAATATAACTATAATCCGAAACTATTAATTCTATTTTAACTACTTACGCAAGTAGAAAACGAATAAAGTAAAAGTTAGAGGAAACGAAAGCAATGATAGTAATGATAGTAATGATAGTAATGATGTATTTTTTTTTTTTTTTTTCTGTATTGTTTAAATTATAATACAGTATACAAGAAAAAAATTTTTTATATGTTAAAAGTCATCTTTCAATATTTTTTCCGTATCCCCGTTATGTGTAATTAGTATGGGTATCGTAGTATACATGACTCGCATACTCTTTCCTCAATAATTTTATAGTATCATGCGATTATAGAATAGGGGATGTGATGACGGTGATGTGATAGTACTGATAAGTAAAGATAGTATAGATAGTATAGATAGTATAAATAGTATAAATAATATAAATAAAATAATTATAAACTACTTACTACACAAATATGAACAATTATTATTATTATCATTTAAAATCAAATGTTACATAAATTACTTTAATATATTATATACATATATACGTTATACGTTATATACTATTGTATATATATATAAAAAAAAAAATTTTTCAATTGAGCAATTGAGCCTTCGGTTTTTTTTTTAAAATGCATTGATGCAGTAAATTAGTCCAAACTTTAAAGTGTCGGTTCTACGGTTCACAACTCGCAAGATTTTCAATCTCTATAAATATAAGACCGAAGAACTATCCTTTTTCCTCCCGCTCTTCGTACCTGGAAGCGACTCCTATAAGACAAATATCCAGGATTTATTTACTTTAATATTAAAAAATATAATCATAATTTCTTTTTAATGTCTTTTATAAGACGCTATTAGATTAGATATCACATCATCGTCATAGCAAAGGTATCACGAAAAAAATTTTTCGAAACGCCTATATATATCTTTAACTTAATTTCTTTTTTTCTGAGCATTTTTTTTCAAGAAACGACAATTTTTTTTCTTCTTCTCATTAATTCTTATAACGGACTCAAGTTCTTTTTCGACATAGCTTCTTTTTCTTTTCCCTCTCGTTTCCTTTTGTCCTTTACATCCATCTTCATAAGAACCAAAAAAACATTTTGTACATATAAAAAAAAAAATTCTTAATTCTTTTTGTTGATGGATGTATAACAATTGTAAACTAAAATTTTAATTCTATTTTCTTTTTAAAAAACAAAAATCATAAAATACATTTCAAATTATTTTCTCTTTAATAATTATCCTCGCTTAGTCTTCCGTTTGAATAGACATATTTATCATTTCACATTTCACAAAAAATTAATAATAATAAAAACCAATCAATATGACTTCCACTTCTGTAAAGTAAGTTTTTCTTTTTTAAAAAACATATTTATTAGATTCTTTTTTATAATATATCGTTAAATTTTTTTAAAATTTTATTATATTAGAGTTGCCCTAAGAATTCGTCCTTTGAGCGAAAAAGAAACAATCCAAGGTTGTACCGAGTGCTTAACACTTATCCCTGATGCCCCGCAGCAGATTCTCATCGGTACCGACCGCTCATTCACTTTTGACTACGTTTTTCCTTCGGATACCGAACAAGATGAAGTTTTTCAAGATTGTGCTATATCTCTTCTTGACAAATTTGTTGAAGGGTAAGCATTTTTTTTCTCGGATAAGACTTACGGTCTACGCATCTCATTTGCCGAATGTTGTACATAAATCCATTTTCTGGCCTTACGTCACACGTGTGTCACCATTATATCATATTTGACACATTCGGCTAATTTTATACTTACGCGTCATCATCAATCATTTCCTAATCTATATACTTTATTTTTTTTTTCTTTTTTTTTTCCCCCCTTGTTTATTAGCTATAATGTTACGATCTTAGCATACGGGTAATTAATAATTTAATTAATGTATATCTCGAATTTTTTCATATAACTAATTAATTTCATGTTACACTTGATAGTCAAACTGGTAGTGGTAAAACATATAGTATGGGTACAGCCCTTGATGGCTCAAATTCATCACCTGAACACATAGGTAATCACTTTGATCATACTTTTAATTATATATTAAATATATATAAATATATATATATATATATATACGCGTTATCATTTACTTATCTTTTATTCAATTTGCTTACGTCACTATTTTGATCTTCAGGTGAATCCACGGGTATGGTCCCACGTTCAATACATCGTCTATTCGAAGACCTTAATAATCGAAAATCAAAAAATCCTTCCTATCAATTTGAGGTCTTTGTGACTTTTCTAGAATTATATAATGAAGATCTAGTGGATTTATTAAATCCACAAAATCGCGAAAATGTTAAAAAAGGAAAAAATGATTTAATGATAAGAGAAGATTCAAATGGTCAGATTTATTGGGCTGGTGTTAAAGAAATTCCCGTAAACTCTCCAAAAGAACTCTTGGAGTACGTGTTTAAATAATTTTTCTAATTTTCATAATTTTCATAATTATCGATGCATATATATATATATGTATATATTTATATTTTTAATAACATCTCGTTCTTTTTTAGGCAATTACAACAAGGTTCTTCATATCGAACAGTTGCATCCACTGATATGAACATGGTGTCTTCACGGTCGCACGCTATTTTCTCCGTTATCCTAAAACAAACAAGAGTTGAAAATATTGATGATGATAAAGAAAATTGCGTTCTAGCCTCTGAAACAACTTCAAAAAAGAAAAAACCTAAAACTTTAACTTCTAAAATAACGTCAAAGTTTCACTTTGTAGATTTGGCCGGTTCTGAAAGAGTATGTATTCGAACATTAAATAATTATTCAAATGTCACGTGTTTTGTCCTTTTTTCATGTGAATCTAATTAATATAATCTCATATAGCTAAAAAGAACTAATGCTGTGGGTGATCGCGCAAAAGAAGGTATAGCAATCAATGGTGGTCTTTTGGCTCTAGGAAATGTTATCAGCGCTCTTGGTGATGAATCACGGAAGGCTACTCATGTTCCGTACAGAGATTCAAAATTGACAAGATTATTACAGGATTCTCTTGGTGGTAACAGGTAATTATATTTGTCTCTATCTTATTTTATCCTAATATTTTATTATCTTAAATATTTACCTAATATTTTATTAATATTTTCTTAATATTTTCTTAATATTTTTTTAATATTTTACAGTCAAACATTAATGCTTGCATGCGTTTCTCCGGCTGACTCAAACTTTATGGAAACGCTTAATACATTAAAATATGCTAATCGTGCTCGTAATATCAAAAATAAAGTCACTGTTAACGAGTCTTATGGTGGAAATTCCGTAGAGATTAATCAATTACGAAGTCAAATTGCTCAATTAAAGATGGAAATTCAAACTTTACGTTCTGGTGGTATAGATGAAAATAATGCTCGTAAATTTGAAGAAGAAATAACTCATCTTCGTGGTGAATTAGGTCTTACAAAAATGAGACTTCAAACTACTGAACGTGAACTTGTAATGTCTAACACCGAAAAGAACACTTTATTAATGGAAATTGGTTTTAATGACCAAGATCTTTCGGATGCTGATCGTGCTCATAAAATGAAAACTCATCACATTATTCAAGCTTATGAGCAAAAAATCCTTGATTATAAAAGTCAGGTGGCTGATCTTCAAGCTCAAACTCAATCACATGCTTTTATGAATCCTCATAAATCTTCTTTTGCCGGTTCGAATCCTGGTCGGGAAAAAGGTTTACATATAAAGTTCCCTGATGACGCTCACTTAAACTCTTCGGATGATGAAGCTCAAAATGCTGAAAAGAAATTTAGAAAAAGACGTTCAAAAAAACAAAAAGCTAGAGCCGAAGGTCATTTCCAAATTTCGAATGATGCTTCTGTAAATCCTGAATCTTCATCTTATCATGAATATCCTAATTCCGTAAAACCTGCAAATTTGGAAGAGGCCAAGTCCATGTTTTCTCATTACGATGAGCATTATATTCATGAAGACGACGCAAATGATTACGAAATTCATGAAAGACGTAATAGTACTGATGGTGGTGAAAGTGATAATTCAACAAGATCTAGTAGAGGTTTGAGAAGACGTAGTGCTAAAGCCATTGAGAAAGCCAAGGAACAAATAAAGCAAGGTTTCTTGCTTCTTAAGAATGGTGGTTCTTTGAATGATGATCCACTAGTGAGTCAACTTACAAAGACTCCTTCTTCTACAAAAAGTGAAAGTTACATTGATCAAATGATGGCAAATCACGCCAATAATAAAGAAAAAAGAAGATCGAGTAGTGTTTCATTTAGTGAAATTCAAACCCTTGAAGTTCCACAATGGCAAGAATCTAATCCTCCACCACAACCTTCAACTCGTCGTACTTCAAATTCTAGTCGTTCTGTTAGTTTTTCTGATCAACCAATTTCACCTGGATCCACAAAATCTTCTCAAAATAGTTATGGTTTGAACACACAACAAAATGCTCTCACTCTTACTCGTATGTTGCATCAAATTCAAGCTGATATTGCTGTCAAAGAACAACTTGTAACTCAACTCGAACGTGCTGAACAAGAATTCACTTACATGAGAGCTGAATATGAACAAAGATTGGCTCATATGCAAGAAACTTTGATTACATTACAACGTGAACGTGATGCTGCTCTTAAACGCGCTGCAAATGCTGGTACTGGTGTTAGTACTCGTGACAAGAATTCTATACTTGCCGAACTTAAAGCTCGTTATGAACATAAAATGAAACGTCTTATTCAAGAAATTGGTGAACTTCGTCGCAAATATAATGATGCTACTCAATCAAATGCTGCCACAAAAAATCAAAATGAAGTAGCACTTAAAAGTATGCGTGCTCAAATCGAACAGCTTAAAGGTGAAAAACTACGTATGGTTAAACTCATGAAAGAAAGAAATGATCGTGTTCGTGAAATGACTGAACGAACTCAACGTGAACTTCAAAACTTGCGACGAAAAGAAAAATCTGCTCAAGAACAAAAGAAACGTCTTGAAAGAACTAGTGAAATGCAAAAATTAATGCTTGAAAAAAGGCAAAAGGAAGTTTTACAAACTGCTGGAAAACTTAAATCAGTCATGACTCTTCTTAAACGAACTTCAACTCCAAAATCAATTGCCAAAGCATTCCGTAAAAATCGTAAGTCGACAGCTGATTCACCTTCAAGGCGTACTTCTGATGACATAAGTAACATTCATGATGATGTTTATGCAAGTGGTTATGAGAAAAAGAAACTTTTAGATGATGCTATTAACAAATATATTACTGGTCGACAACAATTGTCATTACTTGATGAACTATTTAATAAACGTGATAATTTACACAAAGAAAAACAAGAACTTCTTGAAAGACGTGAAAAAATTATATCTAATTCAGCATATGAATTTACTTCGGATGCACAAGATTTAGATGATAGAATTGGAATGATTACTTCGGAAATAACATATATTAGTGCTAGGATCCGTGCGTTACAATCAGAAGCGGCTAGAAATGTGGCAACTGAACAATCGGAAAATGATATACATCAAGAAACTCAAGAACAAGCTGGTGATAATAGCAAAGATTCCGATGATAAAGGTCGTAGGAATAGCAAGTCAGGGAAAGCAGAAAAAAGAATTTCATTTTCTTTACCTGATAATCCAAGTCCTGAAGCATCCTATGACGTAGCTGTTACAATCCTACGAAATTTAGATTCATTTGAATCTCAAACAATTCTTGAATCATTTTTCGAAGATATAGTTAAACTACGTACTGGTGAATGGTCAAAACAAATGACAGTAGCTCATCAAGAGAAGACGATAATGGATTTAAACAAATCTTTATTAGCAATGCGTAGGGCTGCGGTCATGGCCACGGCCGAATATGAAAGAAGAAACAAAGAACTTGAAGAACTATTACGCCGTAATAATTATCATGGTAATCAAGATGAAAGATCACCAAGCCCAATAACGGCAGAAAATAAAGAGTTACGTCTTGTAGGCATTGAAGATGATGCTAACAATTCACTTTCGTGGTTCGATCGTATCTACGAAACTGCTTTAGCACAAGTGGAAGCAGCTATATCCGCAAAAGGTACTCCAATACAAGAAAATGTATCACTTTCAAGAAGAAATTCTTCACATAGCACAATACAAGAAAATATATCACTTTCAAGAAGAAATTCTTCACATAGTAATGGTTCTTCTTCAAAGAGAAATTCATACTGTGGATCTTCTTCAAATGCACCGGTACATAGCAATGAATCCTCTTCAAAGAGGAATTCATACTGTGGACCTTCTTCAAACCCACCACCACGTTTGAATACAAATTTCTCACGACCTCCGTTACCATCTGATTGGTTCCAAAAGGGAACGGAAGTAGAAACACCTATTGAATCTCCAGGAGCTTCTTCTAGAACAATGAAACGTGTTGATAGTACTGGTAGCAATAATAGTCTTTCAAAAAAGACCGGATCAGCCGGCCGACGATTAAAGAGACCTGATGGTTCTAGTACACCTAATATACCTAGTACACCTATTGCACCTAGTACACCTATTGCACCTAGTACACCTATTGCACCTAGTATTCCTAATACTCCTAGTGCACATTTATCGCATAGTCGACAAAACAGTTCGAGCATGGGATTTTATGAAACTCATAACCGAGAAGGATCACGTGATAGTGGTTATTTCAGTGGCATCGACAAAAGAAGATCACAGAGTAGCATGGCTCACCGGGACTCTTCTCATATGCGACAAAGTTCATATGGACGTAGTTCACCAGACAGTGATGACAACGCGAGTGTTACTAGTGAACGTCGACTATCGATTTCACATCATTCGCATGTGAGATCAGTGACACCAGAAGGCGGTAATGTTTATGATCGATTATCACGGAGTCATACACAATCAAGTTCAGCAAAGAATACACCGACCAGAAGATTAATGCGACATGTAAAACAAAATAGTGGTGGCGTTAATAGTGCATTAGCAGCACTTGAAGGACGACGAAACGAATATGAAACAACAACTGAACCATTGACTGCATCTAATTAATATTTAATTATTTGAACATTTGCTTTGTAAAAAAAAAAAAAAAAAACCAACAAAAAAAAATCATTGTACATATTGTACATTTTCATCTTTCACTTTTTGTCAAAACCCTACCTAATATTATTATTTTGGAATTTTGACAAATTTCTTTAAAAAAAAAAAAAAAAATGTATATTTTGTCAGGAACAAAAAGGTGTTTTCTGTATTATATATAATAGCTTGATAATTTTTTTCTAGGTTTACCCGTATGATTTTTCTTGGTTTTTCTTTAGGCTAATTTGTTTTAAAATTTATATAGTTTTTATTTCTTTAGAATTTTTTTACTAGTTTAGAGATATTTGTATTTTTTGTTTTATAAAACAGTAATTAATAAAAAAAAAAAAACTTGTCATTTGCGTTCTAAATGTTATTATGTATGAACGTGTATTATCTAAATGTTATTATGTATGAACGTGTATTATCTATAGTACTCTGCGTCTTTACAACGTAATTTGAACTAGTGCGTACTAATTAGATCAATTTTACTACTGCTAATCACGCTCTATACTCTTCGTATGTTCTTTAACTTGAACTGGCGCGTATCAATTGGATCAATTTTTGCTAGTCACGCTCTTTACTTTTTGTGATCCTTTTTACGTAACAATGATTACGAACTTTAACTTATTCTCGGCATATCTTTAGAATATCTTTAGCATATCATATCTTAAACATATCTTTAGAATATCTTTAAATCTTCTTAAAATACCTTTACATAGCATGTCTTCGGATATCATTAGATATCTTTGGCATATGCTAGCCAAGCCACTAAACTCGATGAAGCAATCTAATCACTAAAATCTAGGTACGTACGTATGTGACCACTTTTTTTTCAAAATCGAATATTCATTGTAACCATTTATTTCTGCTTTTATGTTGTGTTGTATAACTTTGATCACTTTTAGAGTTCATCCCCTTGAAAATCTTGAACAAAGACCCAAATAAGGCATTGACCCGAACAATGAATAATGATTTCACTATGCATTTAATTTAGAAATATATTACGGCACGCAAAGTTACACCATACCATTGATTCATTAGGTTCGGAACAATGAAACTATATCCGGGTTATCTGCTATCTAGCACAATGGCGTGCAATTCGGTTCTAACTTTTCGTGTACTGTTTTTATATCGTGGGACTTTGACTAGTGATTATAACGAATTATATATTTATTTTTGTAGACCTAAAACCCCTGTTCTTTCCTAACTAGTGTAAAAGTATCAACCGTCGGTATGATGAGAAACACGACACATTTATTTACATAACTTCATCTAAATAAATCAAACAGAGAAAGAAAAATGATCTTTGGCATATGATCTGTAGATACGTACTATATGGTGAATCATTTTAATATTTTTTATTTGTTATTTGTATCTGAAAATTTTGCAACCGTTATTAATTATTTGGCATTTCATACACTTTCATTCATATTCATTTTATATTAATTTCATATTCATATTCATTTTACTTATTTCATATTCATTTAATATTCATCTCATATCATATTCATTTAATTTAATAAAATATCACACTTAAGTTAAACACCTGAGTCAGTGAACCCCAAAGTTTGTAGAGCCCTTGTTAGACTTAAAGACCGAAATAAAGAATCAACCCTCACGCCCATTTATTGCACCAAATAATCACTAGTTTAGGCATTGTTACTTAAAATACTTGAAACTAGGTTTCAATAGGTAAGTGTGTACAAATGTATGTATGATAACTTCCGAAAATTATTACGTTCAAAATGTTATTACATTATTTATTTCTTGTTTTCCTTATCTTCCAACCAGATCATAAAGGTTAAATTAAATCTATTCTACGCATACATTTGTGATATCCCCTAATTTCCTTTATCATTTTTATCCTCATGCCTTTGTCTTCGGTGGCGAAAAAAAAAAAAAATCTATGCATTTTCATGCTCATATTCTGCGAGCTGTAATGCTCATCCATCAATATATTTAACCAATCTATTACTAGTCAAACTTTTCGGTCTAATAGACGTTTGACAAGAAATTCTTTCGAGAAAATAACTTTGATCATTTAACCATTCCCTGGCATTCTGTCAATAAATATGTCGTGATACACGAATTTTAAATAATAATCGTGTCGGTGCTCGTAGTTTGTAAGTGGTTAATATTTTTCCCAGGTGATACCGCTTATTTTAGGGTAACCCTTTTTAGGAAAAGTCTTTTTGAAAGGTGTGATGGCTTGTAGATTGTGTTTATGCGTTATTTCAGTCAAATGATTCTTAGGCGAAACTTACTTATATAGTTTGCAAGTGTACTCCCTTCAAAAAAACAATACTTGGACTCAATTGCTATCCGTTATACACAATCGCGCCGCTTAAACCATGTTTGTGTAATTTGTGATTAGCATTGTGCTAATATTGTTATAACATGTCCGCCCCGCCGCATCCACAATTTAATCCTGATTTATTTTATGCGAGTTCATTAATAATGATTACCAACGGTCCGCCAACGATCATCAAATAATTTACATACTTCCGTACGTATGTACGTTCATTCATTCATTCATTAAGATTAAAGTATCCCTTCACTTTAAAAAATCCATGCTAAGAGTGCGTGATATACATTTTATCACATCTTTTATCTTATGGATATCAGTACATCAATCACATTCCTTTAATGTAATTTTCTACCGCTAATCTTGAATCTCACACACTCACGTACGAAGGATCGTGGCTCACAAAAAAGAAATAAAAAGTAATGAACCGTTGATCAAATTAAATGAATGCTCTGAAAAAGTATTAGCATTTATCAAATCATTCTTTTTTTCTAAATAACTAAATTTTGTAGATCATTTAATTTTTTTATTAGCGTTAGATCTTGTTTGTTGATGTATAATTTATTATGAAAAAAAAGTTTTTTTCGTTTAACGTTAACTCCTATTAACCACATACGTATATATTGTATGTATTTAATTTAAAATAATATATATTTAGTATATACATATTAACAAAATTATTTGACTTTCAGTACGTATTTCAAAATATACTGCTACGTACTGCGTATAAAATATGGTTTAAATAATTGTTAATAAAAAAATTACAATACGTAGTACGTATAAAGCTGCGATAATTACTGTATTTATAATATATAGTAGTTTTTAATACAGTTTAAATTTAATTAGTGTTGCTAATTAAAATACTTTAATTAAATTAGAAATTAAAACTACATATTTATGATCTTTTAGTTATTTAACTAAAAAAGTTTGAATTAATAATTAATAAAAATTTAATTAAAAAATTTTTTTAATCCTTAAGCAGTTATATTAAGATTTATAAGGATGTTAGGTGGTTTGGTCTAAACTAATGGATCATAGTTAGTTTTAAGACCGGTTTGAAGCTGAAAAAAATTTGGTCTGCTCTTAGTTTTAAGACCAGTTCGGTCTGGACCAGTCTTGACGGTCAATTCTTAAGATTATGGCTATTACAACTAAACCAAGGCTGAACAAAAATAGACCGGACTGTAGTGCTTCTACGAACTGGACCCGAATCAAATTTTAGTCAAGTTTGAGTCTGGTTTGATTTTCGAACCAAACTCAAACTTTTATATTCAAACTTTTTGGTCAAGTTTGAGTTTGGTCCGGGTTGGTCCGAAGTTTATATTAAACTGGTAGAGTTTTTATTTTACTTGAAATTTGGAAAAAAGATATTTAAATTTAAATGTTTTGATTAAAAATCTAAAATTAAAATTAAGAATTTTTTCTTCAAATTTTAAGTAAAATAAAAACAACTCTACTGGTTTAATGTATTTTTAGATTCTAACAAAGTTTATTTAATGCATGAAGTTAGTTAGAATTAAGTAATAAAATTTTGAAAATTAGGCTATATAAAAAAATTTTTTTGGTTTTCATAACCTAGCTGGGTCAAAATTTAAAAACTTGTAAAAAATTTTTTTATATGTTTTAATAACCAGGTGGGTTTTTTAAAAAATTTTTAAAAAAATTTATAAATTTTTTATATATAAAATTTAAAAAAAGAAGTGGCAACCCGGACAAACAATGCTTCGAGACCAACTGCGAATTTTCGACTTCTCTATAGTGCCTGAAGCATGCTTTTGTTTATGCTTCTATGGGGTTTGAATGAAAGAAGCAGGAGTGCTTATAGTGTTAGAGTACAGAGTTGATGTCGAAGAGCTTTTTTTCCTTTAGGTTTTCGCTTAAATATACTAATTAGTTAAATTAGAGTAGAGATTAGTTTAGATAGTAGTATATAATTTTTACAAAGCCTGACACAGGCTTATAATTGTGACCGTCTGATGTGAGTGAAATATTTCACATTTTTCTTTTTTTTTTATTTTCCCTTTCCCCCTTTATTTTCTTGTTTGTATCTTTTATTGTATTCCTTATACTTCTGTGTTTTTTGTTATAGTTTTTTTTTTCTTTTCACTTCTCTACGAGAAGATATTATCAGATTGGCAGTATCCTATTGTAGGGTGGTGGGTCAGACGAGCCCTCCGGTTAGAGTAATACCTTTGGTTTTATCTCGCTGGTACAGCAGGTCGCCGATGAGCACTCTTTGAAGCAGCTATAGGATGTCAGGATTATAGCTTTAATGTTATAGTGATATACTTGTAATCTTTCACAAGATTGAAACTTTATTAAACATCGATCACTGGCACAATTTTGTCTAAGTGAAAAAAAAAAAAAAATTTAAAAAAAAAAGCTGGCTGGCCGGGTTTGTTTAAATAGTTCTATGTTATAAAAATCAGAAAATTTTTTTTGTATAGCCTTATAAGATTTTATAGAATTTTATTAATAAAATTTTATAAAATTTTATGATTCTAAAATTTTATTAATTAATTTTAACTTAATGTATTAAGTAAATATATATATATTTTTTTTTAAAATTAGCCTCTTTAGGCTTAAGGTTTTTATTCAGATATTATTAAATAGGGCTTATAGTTATCATCTTTTATATTAGAGAGTATATACTAGTTATATA